ATGACAGTTCGCCATAAGCTCTGACTCGACTGGTATTGTTCGAGTGAAGAGCCTTCACAAGGCTTATGTACTTCTGAGGTACGCCTTTCAATGACAGACACTGCCACAGAATCTCGCGGTCTACGGAGTCAAATGCTGCTTTTAAGTCAAGAAAGACCACCATTGTCGGATGCCGATAAGTATGCCTATGTTCTAGAACCTGACGAATGGTGAATATGTGGTCGATGCAGCCACGACCAGGTCTGAAGCCAGCTTGGTTCTCTCGTGTTTGCAGTTCACGAGTCTTAGTTAGGCGTCTGATAATTATCGAGGCCAGTATTTTAGATACTATGTTTGTTAAACTAATCCCTCTGTGGTTGTCACAGGATGATTTTGACCCTTTCTTATATATTGGGACGATAAGTGATTGCGACCAGTCAGATGGGATAAAGTCTAATTCCCAGATCTTAGCTAAAATATTAGTCAACCTAATCGCTAAAATTGGACCACCATCCTTAAAGACCTCTGGAGCCAGTCCATCTGGACCAGCTGCCCTTCCTCGTTTCAGATTAACTATAGCATTTTGAACTTCAGCAAGTGTTGGGGGACCTACTTCAATGTTCCGTTCACATTTTCTGGGAATGGAGGGTAGTTGTAGAGTAGCTGGAGGCCAGCTGAACTGTTCTCTGAAATGTTCCGCCCATCGTTCTAAACGTCTGGACTGGGAGCCGATGAGTGTATCGTCTTTTTCCGATATAATCTCACTTACACTTGACTTATTAATTCCAGTTTCTTTTATTAGTCTGTAAAGCTGTCTTGTGTTCCCTATAGTGGCCGCCTTTCCCATCTCTTTTGCTTTCGTTACCCACCACTGCTCACGGTCGTTTCTTAGACTTTTTCTTAACCTAGATCTGATTTATTTTCGCTCTTCATCATGTTCGAAACCTGATGGTACGAGTTTGCGAGAATCCATCAGTGTGACAGACCTTGAAGAAATCCACTGGTTCCTTGCAACTCTGTGGTTTAAGTCACTAATAGATGTCACTGCTGTTTCCACAGCTGATTGTATGCCCTTCCAAGCAACATCTGGGTCAACCTCGTCTTCACAACTACCTAACTGTGACCTCAGTTGTTCCTGGAACCTACTTTTGGTTTTCTCGTTACTCAACTCAGTTCTAACGGGTCTTTTTAATGTGGCTTTTTTGCGTCCAGTGAGGCGCAAGCAGATGCGTGCCCGTATTAGGGCATGGTCGGAGTCCAAGCAGGTACTCCAGAATGAGCGACAATCTTCTACCGACCCTCTCCAACGATGACTGATGGCAATATGGTCTACTTGAGTCAATCGTTGGTTTGGTGCAGGCGGTCGCCACGTTAGACGATGTCTCTCCTTATGCTTAAAATTGGTGTTTGCTAAAAATAAGCGATTGTCTGAGCACAGTTGCAGCAGACGGTCACCATTATCTGTTCGCTGTGCCGGAATGCTAAAATATCCACCTAAATGCCTTTCTGTTTGGTTTAAGCTACCTATCTGAGCATTAAAGTCACCCCCTACGAGTACTATGTCTGAGCGTTTAGCTTTCTGTAAAATTCATCTTTCACATCATCTGAGCTGCAGTCAGTGGGAGCGTAGGCAGAAACGACGAAAAGGCAACGACGTGTTTCCCTATCCTTCCGAGTTTTTACGGAGCCGTTTAGCCGAACAGCACATAGGCGACTGTTGACGGAGATCCACTCTAGCAGTGCTTGTTCCGCCCTCATGCTTAGTGCTATGCCTACACCTGCCAGTCCACGAGAACTGGCCATAGGGTCACCAGATACACGGAGGGTGTATCTCGTTGGCTCTCCGTTTTGCCGAGGTGAGGTCAAGTGAATGACCACACTGGAATCCTGTATGCGTGTTTCGGAGACACAGCATACATCAATGGAAAGAGACTCTAGGGTTTTAGCCAAGGAAGCCTGCTGACCGATTTGACATAGAGTGCGTACGTTGAAAGCTCCAAGGTGTAGTTTGGAGCGAGGTTTCAGTAGACCTGGAACAGAGTTTTGAGCACTAGAATCGTTGGCTATGGTGACACTTGAGGAGGAAGCCGAAGGAGGAAGTTGAGGGTTGAAAGTCGATGTAGGAAAAATAACAGGAATTGAAGAGGAAGGTTGATTATGAATACAGTGGTCTTGCGTGCTGTTAGAGGTATGAGGGCGGTTACCACGACCTTGTTATGGGTAATTTTTGTGTTAGCTCCGTACTTATTGAGACCTTACCGCCAGAGACGGATATCCGTGGGATAAGGCGAGGTGTGCATTTTTAGGGTCGACCTATTCTAACCCCACCCCTTCTTGTGGGAAGGCAGCATCGCTGTCATGCTGGTTGTCTGAAGGAAACACCTTACTGCTGTCACACCTCTGTACAGTCAGCAGTACGACTTCGCCTTCGGACCTTGAGTTTGTTGCTTTTAGTCTTACCGCTCTTCAACTGACCTGTCTATGGTAGGACCTTGAGGAACGGTTGTTCCAGCCAGTATAGCTCGGTTGCTTCATCACGATAGGCAAGCCCGACCACCACGTCAAGGTAGCAACAACGGTGTTCATAGTCAATCTCGACTCGACACCACGCTACAAGGTAAGCTCAAATGGCCTATATTTCGTGTTTTGGTTTTATCCGCTTAATTATGTCCATTTAACTACTTTGAGCAACATGTCTGTGCAAATGAAACAGTAACTGTGATACTTGCTTAGTTTATTATTCGTGGTTGTCGTATAATTCAGTCCAATCGGAAGAATTACGGTATACTAAAGTATAGTGCTTGAAGCCTGTAACGAAACAGATCAGTTTAGTAAGTAGAGCTGCTTGTTTCTAATGAGCATACTGATTGAAATCAGCCTGATTGAAAATAAGAAAAAAATGCCTTTGGTACTGTTGATGTCATACATTATAAGATAGACTTAAGTATGTTTGGTGTTTATTTCTAGACTGTACATCTATCACCGACCATATTTCAAGATCACTGTCATTAAACAATTTCCCCAGCAATAACATCGGTAGCAGGATAGCTGAGCTTTTAGTTGCCCCCAAAACAGCAGTATACAGTCTTAAAAGATGAGTGTTCTGTCTCAATTAAATGTACCTGGCTGTGGATAAATGTTATTTATTTATTTTTTTTTATTTATACTTGCCGGCTGGTGGTGTATACAAGTTAGTTGCACGTATGCAGGCAGAATACGATTTAATTGAGATATGGTGATTATAAGTTACTGAAATCAGTTAAGCCTATGGGTCATCTCACGAAGTGATGTGGTGCTGCAAGATGTATTTAGCTAAATAAGTTTTTACAAGATGATTAATAGTGAGTGATGCTCCTGTGATTATCAGGGAGTACATAAGTTGTAACCAAGGGGAGTACACTCCCAACTCATGTCTATGATAATGGCTTGAACCTCAGTCAGTGTTGAGGTAAATTCGACATTGATGTTTTCAGTTTGCAGATTTGCTCGACTGCTTATACTGATTATTTGCATGCATGATTGTGTCGCTAAACCATCAATTAGACTGACAAGGTTTTGAGATATTTACTGAATGAGCAACTGATAGAGAAACATACTGTAATTATCTGTGATTGATGAAGATACCAAGAAAACAACACCATTCAATGGTAATTATAAGTCAATTTGTTGACCGATTTCGTTAAGTTTCATTAATTTTATCAGTCATATTACGTGATTGTCAAGTTATGAAAATGCTTTATGACGATATCCTGAAACTATTAAATTTAACTAGTTATAGTGTTGATTAAGGATTAGTCAGTGGAAAAATAGGTATTGTTGCTTAAGGTAATTCAAAATTATCAGAAATTTATAACTTGAAGAATCTGAGACGCCTAATTTAATTATAAATTCCAATTCAGAAATATTCTTTTAGTGTTAATTCTAGTAGGCTACGGAGTTTTGATTTTAAACGTTTGTTTAGCCAACAGCTACCTGGGGATTTAGTTATTTTGCTAGTGCAGTTGATAGTACCTAAATTCTTAATCTTATTATCTAAACTATGTTTGCATTTTAGGCTGCTAATATGATAAACCAATTCATAAACCCAAATACGATTAGCAACAACGACTATGATGGGTTTATTAATAAATGTCAAAGGCGATTCACATGATCTCTAAATTCAAAAGATATGAAGATATAGTGTAACGTATGTACGGGCCAGGTTAACATGCAGGTTGTTGACGTATATGACGATTTAAAAATAACGAACATGACCGGAAAATAATTTTAAAGTTTAGACTGCTTGTGAAACTTCAGGCAGGAATATGATGCGTTATAAACATTCCATAAGAAGTTACTGCATTTAGCTTAGGGACACTTACAAATATATGGCAAAAAAACCGGAAAACATATACATGTTAAGTAAAAAAATCATTAAGTAAAATAGTTGTTAGAAATGGACAAACCACAAGCCATAGTTTAATCTGGATATTACATGTTACAAACACAAAATAATGATAGGGAACGATTATGTTTATATACGAGTACCCGTTCCGTGTACCACGTCCTATGGCACACTAAATCCCAACCGCCGATTGCAACGGGATCTATGCGGACGACCGGATCACTCTACTTTCGTGCTGGTGACCTACCAACGTATACTCACAAGCGCATCGCACAAGCTAATAACTTCAACATCATTTCCTCGATTACTAATCCGACTGCAGAACGCACAGCTTCCAGGTGATTCATACATATTGTTTCTATTTTGACACTGAAATTCTGAACTCAACAACTAACAGCAAAATATTAGGGGCTCATATTCAAACGGCATCTCAACCTCTAGTTCAGTCATGAAGCGCAAAAATAAGATTAACATCCACATGAACTTCAAGTCAAACACACCTGCAAAACGGCACTCGTTTAACTGCAATGAACACGCAAACCAAGGACTCAATCTTATCTACACGTTATCAAGAACCAACAGGTGATTGTTATTTATTAACAGGTATATTTTACTGAAATTAAATGCAAGTAAATGTTTAAGACCATCCGCCATACCACTGGCTGGCTTTGCCTCCAACATGCTCTCCAGATCCCATACTTCCATACCCACCATAGGTGCCGCCACGGGAAGCACTACAAGGAAAACAAACATTTGTTAGGAAAAGATTGTGATCTGGGAACGAGGGAGTAAACAATAATCCAACTCTGCAGTAGCTAGGTTACGGCAAGTGCCGCCTTCTCTGCTTCAGTCCGACACACACTAGTAATACAGGACCATGTGGCGAGCCTTGAGCCACACTATTTTTGTTAGGACTATCTGTACCACTCGGTTGCCCGAACCGATGTGGGTGAGTCGAAGTTTGAATTTCAGACCCACTACAAGTAGTCTCTCCGCCCACGACGAACCCTGATACCTCTCGGAGCTCCATTCACAGCCAGCATTGCCAGTGGGTGCACTTCAATATAGGCAACCCCGTTCTGTAGAAATTAATGTGAAGCGTACTCCTTACAACCTAGGGCGGCTATTCTTAGCAACTATGTGGATTGTGACAGACCGGCTGATTCAATGGTGGAGCATCTGACGGTTGACCGAGGTTCCAAAAACAACGATGGTCCCCCAGCTGTTACCGCGTGTATGATTCCCGAACCAAGTTGAACAATAGCTCGGGGTGAGTTCTTTTCACGTAGTCAACCCTGGGGTACACAGCTGGATCCTAATTCCTATAAACTACTTAAACTTTCACGAGTTTCGGTCGCTTAGTGTTGGGTTACATAGTATAATATGAAATGACTTACCTTTGACCACCTGCCATGTCAGCCGATCCACGCTGGCTTCCACCATACCCAGACCCACCGTAACCTCCAGAAGCCATGTTGCCTGATCCACCGTATCCAGGGCCGCTGAATCCTCCCTGTCCAGTTTGGTCAATGCCTCCGTATACTCCGTTGTCGAATCCTCCTGACCCGTCATATCCACCTTGACCACCGTAGCCTCCGTCTGCGGAACTACTATAACCACCTGGAGGACCCATAGAGTTGTTACGACCGGCAGGAGGGGGGACAGGTGCTGGGCCTGAAGAGCCCATCATTCCTCGCTGGCCTTGAGCGAGAGGCGCGCTTCCACTCATCATTCCGCCACCGGAGCGAGGTCCTCTACCACGACCTCCGGGAACCGGTCCGCCGCCCATAGGACCCATTCCTCCTCCCATAGGGCCCATACCGCCACCCATCGGCCCCATGTCTCCACCACCCATCATGTACGGACCTCCCATGTTGTAACCCATCGGCGGCATGCACCCAGGTCCACGGAGAGGCATCCCTTGAGCGAGTGCTGCTGCAGCTTCTCGAGACAACCAACCGCCATAGTTGAGAGCATCACCCTCACTGAAGTTGGCAGCGTCATAATCCTCACGGCGACCACGAGGAGGAGCAGACTGAAAAGTACAAAACATAACATTGTCAGGAGCACAAACAACACAATAAATACCAAGCAGCTGCTAATACTATATGCAGTGAATGCACCCACACCACAAAAGGTCAGCCAAAGCATTCGAAGGCGTAACACAACACTCAGATGTTAGTGCAACACACCGTTCGTCAATACTCTTAGTTTTGGAAGTATGACTGCTTACTGACACCGCAAGTGTGGAGTGCAATTGGTTGTCGATAGGGTCGTGACAGTACGACCATAGGACAACAGACCCAGGTTTGTGGTTATCAATGATTTGATTGTGGGAGCCGATTGGGGGGGCAGAAATGACCGAGCTAAACGTATTTACTTACCTCTACTGCTTCTATTACAGCTCTCAAACATTGGACGACATTGTCTGGGTCAGCAACCATCTGTACAACTCGGTCAGTAGATAACGGAGCCAACATCTGGTACACCTTGATAACACGCATTTTGTATTTCTAAATTTCATGTTTTAGCAAACGTCGACAAACTTACATCACGAAGGTCCTTAATACGTTCACCGCCTCGACCGATTACAGACCCAGCTTGGCTTTCGTGCACTAATATTCTGAAGTCAATCATGTTTTCGTCTTCCTCATCATCTCGTTCTGGATCTTCACTTCGTCTCGGGCGGCGTCGAGATCCTTGAGCACCCATTATGCGTTTAGGATCGGAAAGTTTGGCATTCATTATATCCTTTGAAGTCAACTTTAGTAAGTTCACCTTACCTTCAGTTTCGGACAAACATCGCGCATGATGCTGCAGATAGCCTGCAGGTCACCTTCGATAGTCATTATCCTATCGGAGAAAAAGCAAGTTAGGATGGGAAAGAAGGAAGAAAACAAAAACTTTAATCGTATAACGAAGCTCATGACACCCTTCCATATAGTGACAGTCGTGGAGGGCTTGGAGAACTAGACAACCGTCTGAGGGTTATCATCAAAACTTGTCTAGATTTTTACACAATAGAATTCAATGAATGACTAAGTCACTGGGGTTTCCAGTTACAACAGTAACTCGTGGGTTAGCTGGTAGTTAAGCAGTCAGGAATGACTTTGCAAATCATATCCAAAAAGGGCTTTACAAATACATTAATGAACCAAAAACATGAAAATAACAATTTAGGCAAACTAATTAATCGACCGAATAGACATCAAGGTGACATTAAGTTTCTGGGTTACCCTACCGTTCAGGGCCTCTGCTGTCGGGAATATTCAGCTTGACGTTATACTGAGACAATAAATGGGATAAAGCAGGGCCGGTTTCAGTGAGCCAGAGTCATCAGTTTGAGAATAAGGCAGGCATGTGGTACCAACCCAAACCATTGGGTTATCAGAGGAGATTGACCAGATTCAGCGAGTAAGTGTCCGGAAGGTGGAGGAACCGTAAAGAATATAAAACAAAGAATCGAGTCAGTTGGTGCCAAAACAGCGATTGAGCAAGTTACTAAATGAATTATGAAAGAACAAACCTGTGATCGAATTTTTTTGATATTTTCCCCACCCTTCCCAATCATTATCCCTGCAGCCCTCCCAGGAATAAGAAATCTGATGGAAACATTTGTTAAATCAACGGAAGAACGTTGGAATTTCGACGGAGGACCATCTTGGTTGTTTCCTGAGTTGTCCCGTTTCATGGCGGCTAAGGCGAATGGCTACCGGCTGAGTGGTAAGCAGACAAACAAACAGGTATATTTAAACACCATTCAACATAGAGTTGTTCAACAGCTCAAATAAAATGTAATGAAAAATTCCAGTTATTTTTTTTCTTCATGAGTTGAAAGATAAAATTATCATCTTTATACGGTAGCACTAAATACCATTGGATCAGATTGACTCAAATTCAGATTTGTGTAGTAATAACAGAAGCCCTATGGGCTATGTTATTCCTTTTCTAGTATGCTTCTGTGAGTGTCCGGTCTCCGCTTGAAAGAGTCATTTGAAGATGCGGACATCACTGCTTCGGGCAGCAGGTTTCAAGTATTTATAGCTCGGTGAGAAAACCTATATGACACAAGTATTTTGTTCTTTCTTGGCCTTTCAACTCGCCTCCTATGTCCTCTGAGATGTCCCGATCTAGTAGAAAGAAAAAGGAAGAATAAGTTAGGTCCAAAATCATTTATCGGTGTTCTATACATAAAAATTAGATCATCCCCTAGTCTGAGGTAGGACAGAGTAAAGAGGTCCAGTTTCTCCGCCGCTCTTTGTATGGTAAACCCCGGAGTTCTGGAATTGCATGTGTAGCTGCCCTTTGTACTTTTTCCGGGATATTCGAGTCACCTTTTAAACAGGGGATTGCAACCTGAACGCAGTTCTCAAGTTTAGTTCTAACCAAGGTTGTGTATACTGTAGTGAATATGGTAGTATCTAACTTAGTGCCCATGGGATCCTAATCCCCTTAGTTGCGACCTCCCGGCAATGACTCGTGGTCTTAAGATCATGACTCGCTGTCACCTCAAGATCCTTATTAGACCGGACCAGTGGTACAGGCACTTTACCTATGCTGTACGTATTAATCTTTACATCCCCAAAGTGCATGTAGACACACTTTGCTGCGTTGATAAGCATCAGCCGCTCTTTAGACCAGTTAATCATATTATTTAAGTCTGCTTAAAGTCCACATGTGTCTGCGCCATATTTTTACATCTTCAGCGTATAATAACGTTGAGGACCGTACTATACTTGGGAGATTATTTACATACAGTACGAAATGTAAAGGACCTAGGACGGAACCTTGAGGTACTCCACTAAGTACTGGTCTCCAGGTAGAGCACATGGAATTTATTCTTACTTTCTGTCTACGACCTACTCGGAAATCTTTAAGCTATTTTAAAAGAGGTCCGGCTATACCAAGATTTTCTAACTTCAGTAGCAGTCTGTTTGTTGTCAAAAGCCTTACTGAAGTTAATGTAGACAACATCCACTGAGTTTCTGTTGTCTAAAGCCTTTATCCAATATCCCCTTGCTGTAAGGAGGTTCTTTATACAACATAAATCCTTTCTAAAACCATGTTGTTTGCCGTTTAACAGGTTTTTGTTCCCACAAATGTAATTATTCTTTCCAATATTTTAACTACAACGCTGGCGATGTCGTTGGAAGTTGTTTTGGTCCTGTTTTATGTATGGTAGTGACAGTTGCGTCCTTCCGGTCCATAGGTAAGACACCTAGGCCAAGCAACATGTTGAATATCACAGTTAGTGGAGCCGCGATATATTGTTCAATAAGTCTCAAGATTTTGGGGTGTAGTTCATCTGGTACTGTTGACCTTTCCATGTTTAAGGTGCTAAGAGCCTTTAGAACATCGTCTTGATCGAAGTCCACCGCGAGCAAGTGGTTTGTTGACTATGTATTTGGATTCGGTTCTTTGTCTAGAGGAGGTTCGTGAGTGAAAACTGCCTCAAAATAGTTGGTCATAACATCTAATCTTTCCTGATCTTCCTTTATCATTTCAGATTCACTTCATTCTTTAATTAGGTTGGGAATCTAATGATGCATCCTTGTTCTGCAGTTTATGTACGTGAATATTCTCTTAGGCTGATTGAGTGAAGATTGTGCCAAGTGCATTTCATATTTTCCTTGAGCTTCCCGAATTTTAGTTATAAACGTGTTTCTTACCAATCTTCAGCGTTCCATCGTACCTGCTGTACCAAGGCTGATAGCAACATTCCAACATTTCTTCTTTTGTCTCAGTAAACGTTTAATAACCCACGCTATCCAGAAATGACCGTGTTTCTTCTTCCATTGAACTGCCCAGGGTATGTATGGTTGAGTTGCCTGATTGTATAACTGCCTGAAATAATTCCATACCTCTTGTACAGAAGCCATTGAGTCAATTTCCGAGTCATCGGCTAGAGCTGAGGAGTTGATTGCCTCCATATCTGCCTTCCATATATTTAAACGGGTCAGCGCAACTGTTTGACAAGCAATCTCAGCCATGAATTTGAATAATATGACTGCACGGTCACTCCTCCCTAGTGGTGGGAGAAAACTATTTTGACTGGCGTCATCACCGTATGTGAAGACTAAATCCAAAAGAGAAGAGGAGGAGTTTCTTAAGTCATATCTTAAGGGATTTCTAATGTATTGGAATAAAGCTAAAGTAATTGAGGTTTCTAACAGTTTGCAGTGGAATGACGTTATCGATTACCCTACTTCTAAATTGACCCAGTTTATATACGATGCATTAAAGTTGTCTACTATAAGGCTTTTACCCCTAATACACCAGGACCTAAGTTCGCTTTGGAGGACATCATCTACTACACATTCTGGACCACGATATGCTACAGCTAATTCAATATCTTGCCGTCTATATTCCAGCTTGGATAGCACCAGTTCACGTATCTATAAATTATGTGCCACTGTCTCAACTGCTGGTATGATTAAGTTACTTTTCGTTTACAGGATAACCCCACCTCCCTAACGGACTAATCAATCAGCCCTACTGGATAAAAAAGCAGTCAACTGAAATTCATTATCTAATACGTCTGATGTAACCCATGTTTCCGAGACAGCGATAGCGTCCGGTTTTTTCTTTATCCACCATTTTATTTAGTAGGCTGTAAGCATTTATGTAGCACACCTTTAAATCTGTGGGGAACTTTCCCTTACCACCCAGATTGGTTTAGAGATCGTTTTTCTCGGAACTTTTACAACATGGAAACCCTTAAGAACGAAGTTTCTTTCACCACCTCGGCGCGCTCCTTTATTCTCACTTCTGCAGCTCGTCTCTTAATACGATCAGCTAGGCTGATCCTCACTGATATATATTCCGGATCCGATCAGTTTAGAGGAGTTACCTAGTATCACGTTTCTTTCTTCAACCGTAGCAAAGGTACCCTTCAAGAGGCGGCTTTTCTGAGTACTTTCAGAATCTATCTTTTATCCTATTCTATGAACCTTACAGATGCTAATTCCTGAAACTGTATCTGGGAGTAGTTTGCTTATTAAGAACTTAATATGGCTGAGGTCGTGCTCAAATCTAGCCTCTGATTCCTTATCGGAGGATTCTCTCAACTTATGAAAAATAACTGACCTCTCAGCCGGGTCTGTCTTGACTCGCTGTGGAATTTTATTTCCTGAAACCGTCTCTTCCTTGCAATCCGATTTCAATTCAGCGTCAAACGCATAGGTAGCATCCTGTTTTCTTACTTTTCTTTTCATAGGTGCGACTGAGTCACTCATTTACCTTATTTTGTCTCTTGATCACTTCCTCTAAGCAGCTCAGACTTGGATCCCCAATAGTTTATATTACATTGATATGTGAATCCGGAACTGAAGCCGCAGATTCACATGCCTCAGTAATGTCTATAGGTAGTTTCTTCTGCTCTGCGCGCTTCTTTTTCCTTCTTGTAACAATGCCTACATCCATATGCTTATCTGCTTCCCTGATGAGGTCCACCCTTATTGGTGTTGTGCAGGGTAGTGTCTTGGGCCCATTGCTCTTTATAATCTACATCAACAATATATGCAAGTGTTTTAGCACAGGTAAGACCTACCTCTATGCCGATGACTTAAAAGTCATCTATAAAACTGACATCTGCGATTTACGCAGTACTATGCAAACAATCCAACATGAACTCAACATGGTAGATGACTGGTGCAAACGCTGGAGGTTAGAGCTCAACATAGAGAAATGCGGCTGGTTATGTATAGGAGACACGTCTCTTAAAATAAAACTAACACTTAGCGATC